AACAGCTAGTTACCTGGTAGGCTGATATTTTTACTTCAGTACTTTCTTAGTAACTGATCCAGGAACAATATGCAGCACAGGGAAGAAAAGAATACAGTCAGAAATCACTATCTGCATGCTTGTTCTGGGTTAGTGCCTGACGGTATTGAATCAATAGATCAGTATGGCAGCCAGGCAACTAGGATTTGCAGAATGTGACGACATGAGTGGTAGCTTCCATACTTAACTCAGTGTAGCGCCCTCCAGGTTAGCTAGATAGGCTATCTTTTTTCCTTTTTGTTTAGGCAGAGGCTGAGAAGCAGCCTGGGATGAGTCAGCCTGTGAATGAGGGAGGAGTTCACCTCAGGACAGGCTAGGAGGCTCTATCAGGTCAGGGCTTCTGGAGCCTTCTCACCTGCAGATCTGCATATTTGAGGCACCTTGGCCAATCCCCTGACCAGAGGCGGGGCATAGTGACCAGGGAAATCCTCACATAGCCTGGGGGGATGTGTGCAGTGTTGGATGGAAGATTGATTGAGGAAGGCTGGAGTGTGGAGCCTGGGAGGGGTCGGTCCCACCTACAGGCAGGTCACTGAAGAGATGATCTCCACTGCCTCGAGTCCTGCCTTGGGTAGGACAGCCTGTGTAGCAGGGAAGGAGCCAGCCCCGCGTAAGGCCTGAAGGCAGTCACCAACCCCCCAAGCTACCAGGAAAGTACAGTGTGAGTACTCTTATACCCCCTGGACCAGAAAAGGGGAGGGGGTGTCAGGTGCAAGACCCAACTAGCTTCTCATCTAGGACTGTCCTAAATTAACAGCTCTTGGACCCCCTTGCCCAGGGATACCCTCAGGCAGCTGAGTGAAGAGGAGGAATCATCCGGGGTCTGAGGAGGTACACCAAAGAGCCTCTGGTGCTCTTTAAGGAAAGACTGTTGCTATCCACATTTTTTGTAGATAGTTGCTAAGGAGTTTGTCCGCAAGTTTTGCAGTTTCTGGGGCATCCCATATACCCCTAGACCCAATCCACATTCTTAACCCCTTTTTAAAATCACAAAATCAAGCTCAAGGACTGTTCCTTGACTCCTGTGTGCAAAGTGCGGACAATGCACGTTGCCTGGCAGTGCAGAACATAGAGGAACCCAAATGAAATCCAGCAGCCCTTACAAGGGTAGTGCTACATCAGGGATGGGTTTTTCTTTAAATCCAGAGAAGCAAGAATCCAAATAAAATTTCATGGTACCATTGGGTTGTCCATGCTGAAGCCTGTGCTGTATAAATTCTTCTCTTTTTCCTTTCTGTACTAACAATCTCATTTCATCTTCCAAGGCAGGTTTAGAATTTGATTAGTGTGTAGCACTTACCCCCCAGGAGCTGCTGGATATGATAGATGTACTGCCACGACTCTTTAAACTGCTCAGACCCCATTGACACACCTGTGTAACCTAAAAGTTAGTATGCTGCCACTCTACAATAATGCTCAGAAAATAGGCCACAAGCATCTGAATGGTAGACTGAAAGGGTGTATCATGGCAATGCAGTTAAACAATGCATGAATTAATAAACTGGCAACTGAACAGGTAGAAAAGCTATCAATATAGGTGTCCAGTTTGGGGTTGCGTCCTGTGCAACCAAATCAATCCATCAAAAAGTGTCAAACACTCAAAAGGGATCTTCAATATCTCCGGATCATACAACTGCGCCTCCAGTAATGTGTTCCTTATCCAGTGCAGAAAGTGTAGCAAAGGATCTTATGTTGGCGAAACAGGACAGAAGTTGCAAACAAGGATAAATCTGCACAGACATACCATCAAGGAACATAAAGAAGATGACTTTTGCACACCTGTGGGACACCATTTCGCTCAACCGGACCACATTATGGAAGACCTCAATGTTTTAGTTCTTAAAGGAAATTTCAAATCCATCCAGGAAACAAAAACTTTTGAACTAAGAATGATAATTCTATTTGACACAAGAGATAACGGCCTTAATTTGGACATGGGATTCCTCAGTCATTATCCAACATATTTATGACTCCCTCTGTGAGTGCTGCTCCCCCCCCCACCCCCAGTCTTTGCTTTTTCCTTTGCTGTTCTTATCTCTAGCCTAACCTCAGGCTTGTGTTTCTTTCTGCCCTTTTTTTTTCTCAATCTCCACATATCTTCTAACATTCTGCTAAAACTTTGTAACGGTACTGCTTGGACCTTGAAGAATTGGACACTCCCCGAAAGCTTGTCCTCAAAATTGTATGTTAGTGCAAATAAAAAAAGTATCACGGACAGTACTGAATTGTTTCTGTCGCAAGTGCACTAATACGGCTTCAATCACCCCAAGCTGCATTATATAAAACTATTATAATAGTTTTTCACATTTAGAATGGGGTTCCTCAAGACTGTCCATAATTTTAAAAGGTGCTTCGAGGGTGTCCGTAATTTTAAACGGTGCCTTGACTGAAAAAAAGATGAGAAACACTACTCTATATTAGCAAAGGACATTGGGTTTCATAACCATTTGATTCATTGTAATGCATAGCCCATCATGTTCAGCCACTCCAGTCTACAAGTGATCCTGACCAATTATTTTTACATGAATCTGGACAGATGCATGCTGAGTGTACATATAGATTGTGCTGGAGGCAACTTTCATGATGCAAGAGGCATTTTATCATGATGTTCCTAAAATAGTTACTAAAGTCAAAGGGATTCCCAGGAGGGGATTAATAGATGACCTATTCCATGACAAGTGTATAATGCATCTCTTGGGGCAGCATACACTTCGTGGCAGATGGCAAAACTCCAGCTTCTAAACATTGCTAAATCAAAATATAATAAAAAGGAATAACCACTAGACTATGGAAGAGTTTCACAGAGCAACATGATAAATAAACTAGGACAGCAGTTGATGTGTTTTGTAACTAATGATTCTTATATATGATATTTGTATTTGATGGTAAAGGATATTACTAAATCCCAAACTGGTCATCACTTTAATGTTTCAGCAGGAGGTATGCCAGCAATTAAATAAATAAGATTAGAGGATACTAAAAATAGATGTGATTTAATACTTGTCAATTTAGCATTTTACAATATTGCATGTTTTTGGATATCCATCAAGTAAGCCTGAACTAGCCTCAGACTGCCATCATGTGTAACAAATAGACTTCATAGGCTACATATAGAAACATGTACAGCTCATATGTCACAGCTGGGATTATTGGGGGGATGCTGATGAAAGGGGATCTACCAAAAACAGATAGGAGTGTGATAACAGTATATATTATATGTGATGATAATAATATTTAAAGGCCATCTAAGGTGAGAAGCATTGTATTATGGTGACCGAATGGATTTGGAATGATAGCAGTCAGTATCCAAATTCCTTTTTTTATTTATTTTCTTTTTATTTATTTTTTCCTCTACCTTTACACGCAGTCCAAACTGTCCAGAAAACGAATATACTGGCAGGTATGTTTACAACGGTTAGATTTTACTCTTTCCTTCCAAACCTATATTCCAAAAGAAAAAAAATGTTGTTTTTATAACTGCTATGTTAGCAGTAGCTGTAGCTGAAGTTGGGTTTTACTTGTCTTTAACCTACTTACATATATTATATCCAAATAGTTTTTTTTTTAATTATGAAACCACTGTTGGGTTAAATTCAGCTGTTTTGTATCCATCTGGGGAGATTTCCTTTAGTTTCCTGTCCTAAAGTAGCAACAAGAAATGTATGGATATCTTCTAAAATTAAAGAGAATTCTTATCTTATCCAGTACACACTGGAACACTTAGCTAATGTTACACACTATTGCTCGGGTGACAACACTAACATTTAGAATTTCCTCCCCCATTTTATTTTGTGCAGACATTAGGTCACCAGGACAGAAGAGGGTGAATCTCCCCAGTGGTGACACACATAGCAATAAGTACTTGATCAAGAGTAAAACCCTTACCTCTTCCTTCTAAAAACACATACAAAAGTGTTTCTTCTACATACACTTGGAAGTTCATCTAAAAACTACTCTGTCCACAGGGCGACAATACTGCAGTGATTTTTACAACCCTGTAACAAACGGAAATGGATCTACGGGAAGGATCAACAGGTAATAAAACTATATGATGGGGTGACCGATTAAAACTATAGTATAAACATCATTTTTTCTTTTGTCCATAGTTCTACTTTAAGATGTACAGTAGTCTTATACGTAATTCCACAGTAATAATTGCACACACTTTTTAGGGCTGCTTACAGGCCTTTATATCTTCCTTGAATTTTTGGCCAGCTTAACGTGGCCTCCCTCTTGCACAAATTATTAAAAAAAAGTAATTAAAATTTTTACTTTTAAGGTCTTTTTTGTGCTGCAAGGAAGCAATTTCTGGTTCCTGGCCTAGGCCAGGCACTGCTGCCTCCCAGAAGACAGTGTATTACTAAGTTGCAACTGTGCACACGCAGTGGATTTCTGCATGTGCACATAAACACCATCAGGCTATAAAGTGGCAATCTACCAGAAGTTGTGCATATGGGCAGACATCCTGGATACCTAGAAGACACTGATGGGGCATATGCAGATGCAAGAGAGTCTTTAAAGTGGTGTCGCGGAAGAGGGGCAGGAGGAGACCATCATTAATATGTTTAGTTCCTCTTTAAGAATTTCTGCGCAAATAGACCTCAAAAAAGAAAACAAACAGCAGTTTGTTGAATGGTAGAAATATAGAGGTGCTACTTGACTGTTTACACAAGGAAAAAAAAATTTAAATATTTAAATTTCACTATTTACAACTTCATAACTTTATTTAAACTGTTACTAAACCCACAACAGTAAAATCAGTCTGTATATGCAGTAAATAATGCTTGTTATACTCACTGTGGAACTAAGGGGTTAATCCTCTGCATTGTGTAAAAAGGCCATTTGATCCTGTCTTCTTTGCCCCTCCTCTTGTTCAAATGTCCATGTCTTATCTCCTGATAAGAAAGACTGAGACCGTAGCCATTCTGCACGTGCTCAGTTCAGTGTGTATTGCTAGAGAGGTTTTTTATTCCTTGGAAGAGTGCATGTGATCAGCACAGGGCCAAATCAGCACTCTCCAGACAGAGGTCGGGGGTTTTGCACCCTGCTAAAGCAGAAAGAAAACTCCTACAAGCTTTAACCAGTGCTCTGTTGAACACTGATAGAAATCACATGACTGCTCTAACTGCTGATGAGAAAAGGTATTTAGTTGTTGCACTTCCATGTTCTGTGTACTGTGGGAGACCAGATATAATGAATGCAGGGTCCTGTGTTTAGTAACACTTTAATTGTTAAGTAAAGATAAAATTAAATGAAAGATAATCATGTGATGTTTGTGTCTTTGAAAAAAATATGCATGCCTGCAAATTTTGTGTGTATGAGTAATAAAGAATGTGTCATAAACTGGTAGTACAGTTGGAACTGTGTGTATACGCATCTGCTAAAGTAGGTGAAGATTGCATGTTGTAAAGGAATTAAAGTGGTTCTAAAGCCTCAAGGTTTTTTATCTAATGCATTCTATGCATTAGATTAAAGAAACCTTCTGTGTAAAAGAATGCCCCTGCCCCCCCCCCTATACTTACCTGAGCCCCATTGTGATCCAGCGCTGTGCATGAGAGCTGTGGCTCTCCTAGCCTTGTCCTTCCTCACTGGGCAGGTCGATAGCAGCAGGAACCATTGGCTTCTACTCCTGTCAGTCAACTTCAGTGATATGGCCAAGTCCCGCTGTCTGTGTCAATGGACGCAGCAGAGGGACTCTGAAGCAAGTCCCCACGAGTGCCCCCATGGAAATTGGCTTCCTATTCGGGACACCAGCAAGAGGGGATGAGTCAGGGGCTCCGGCAGGGGTCCCGAGAAGAAGAGGATCGGGCCACTCTGTGCAATTCTATTGTACAGAGCATGTAAGTATAGGCATGTTTGTTATTTTATTCTATTTTAATTTCCTTTACAACCACTTTAGGCTGGACATACACTGCACAAATTTCAGCTAATTCTTGATGAACCAGCAAAATTCGTCTAAAAAAATCAAAGGAGCTAGGTGGAAAATTGTCAGCATCCAAGAAGCAGCGGGGAATTTGTCTATATGTTTTGTATTTTCCAGGTTGAAAGAAAAAATCTATATGTCTATGGTCAGTATTAGACGTTGTGTGCATAGGTTTAGGGAAGAAAATTGGTGCATAGTTTGTAACTGGGGCTAGCATACAGACACTGGTATGGTGACTTTAGGGTTTTTAAGGTTGGGAGCATCAGTCAGAAGAGGAAGCATAACTTATGATTTTAGAGGCATCCTATATTCTAGCCTAAAAAATGTTCTATTGACAGATGGAAAATTGTCTGCGGAACAGCAGCTGAATCCAAGCAGATGCAGCTGCTGTTCGGGGATTTTGACAGCTTGTGAGCCAGCGGGAGACAAATCTCAGCTGCAGTGGGAGATCTGTATGTGGGTGATAAAAGCTCAGCCAGCTGCAGTGGGAGATTTGTCTACTTGCATTGTATGTTGCAGGCTGAACTAAAAAAAATCTATATGTGTATGGCCGGATTTAAAGATTTTGCATCAGGGAAGAGAGTTGGTGCATTGGTTTGAAGCTGGAGCTAGCATACAGACTAGTATAGTGAGTTAAGGGTTTTCAAAGTTGGGTGTATAGGGATCTGCTGCCTTCTACTGTCAGCTGCTAGCATCAAACTGAGAGAGAGAGAAAGCCTCAGCCACATGTCCTGTCCATGCTACTAATACCAGATCAGAAGAGATGATTAAGCTATGCCAGCTAACTAGGTCTGTGTTCCAGACTGGTTGGGTAAAGGCTGGATGGTCTCCTCATCACTGCAGATCTTGTCCTCAGGTCTCCAACACAAAGACAGACACCGCATCATCTTTCGGAGCCCCTGCAACAGGACTATGTGGCAACATTCAGCTGGAGGTATCTCTGTTAATAACTGCACACCCATGTTTATGTGCACAATTCCACCAGGACTAACATCAGGCCCTTTTCTGATAATATCTTTGTCCTTTGGATGTAAGTACTGCTATTAATCTCTTCATATATAATGCTTGTATTATTTCTATACCCGTGTGCATCTACAGTATATTCTTACAGGTAATGTTATATGTTGGTTGCAGTAGTTCTACTCCCAATTACTTTAAATAGATTACTAGTTAATTTCCCAGGAAGGAAATTCCCTTCTGACAGATGTCCTGTCCTGGGTGGAGGAACTGACAACTATTTTATGAAACCCACTCTTCTACTCAGCGAAGGTTCTGGTTCCCTTGTTTATCTACAGATTTGGAGCAGTATCCTGTTTGGGGAAGGCCATTTCTCATAACCCCTCTCAAAAGAGGGCTACAGGTGCATCAGTCCAGAATTAGGAGCATAACTTACAATCTTGAAGGTGTCCTATATTCAGGCCCCCCCCCAAGGTAAGATTTCCTAACCATTTGTTCCTACTTACCTTGGAGTGTTGACTGTTCGTGTGCACCTTTTGTTGCATTCTTCAAAAGATATTAAAAAAATGTAAAGAAAACAAAAATCCAACAAAGAGAGTGGGATTTGCTCTTATGAAGAAGAATGAATATTTTATATGTTATTCTGTAATAAAATGGCAGCCAGTGCACTGATTGTCAAAGACCTGAAGAGTTAATGAAAACATAAAGCTTTTTTGATGTGATTCTGCATGCAGAAATATAAAGGCCTAATAGAATACCATCGGGGCATAAAGCATTACGTCACTTAACATGAAATGAATATATAAGGTAACTAATTAAGTCTATCTTTGCTTCATATTTTTATGTATATTTATATATTTCATATTTTCTCTCTCGGTGACTTAGGGCTGCATTTATAGTAATAGGCAGCTAGATTCATTGAAGGTAGGTAAATGGCATATTATCAGGGAAAGCATCTTTCTGGGGCCACAATATCCTCTACCTTACCTTGTTTCCTAAATGATTCGCAAGAGTTGATGCTAGAGAAACTTTCTTTGATGTTGGCTTTTTCAAGCAAGACGCCTGTATTTATAGGAATTTAATAACCTTGTATATAACTGTTATGTATTATTCATGTATGACTTTTTAATATATTCATATTGCCTGTTTTGCATGTGTTTCAATGCTTCGCTTTTACATTTTTATTAGCAAATCGAGTATATCATTTGCATTGATCGCAACCAGGACTGAATTTTACTGGCTGAAGCAGAGCTAAACTGGGTGAGTCCCATTATTGGCTGCCAGCACTGACCATCCCTGAGACACTGCTTATATTAGCAGTATTCCCCAAAGCAGAAGGATAGAGATTGGAGATTATTACAGCTGCAGGTAACAGAAGGAGTCCACTTGGCACTGTCTTGGGGAACAACAGCAACACTTTGACCTTGATTTACTAAAAGAAGTAGCAATTCGCTTTTAAATTGAATTTTCACTTATATTAGTAATTAAGGTGAAACAAAGAAAAAATTCACTTTTCAAACAATTCCCAATCATGTGCATAGAAAATATGTAAACAAAACATTTTTTGCTAGCAAAACTGAATGATTAAAATCACACAAATTAACGTCAATGAAAACTTATTTTGCAAAAGAGAATTTTACTTAGCTTCGAGAATAACCCCTTGGTGCCGATGGTACGCATATGTGAGGCCCTACTGGACTGGGATTTTTCCCATGGAGCTGCATATATACATATGTGTCGTTGTGCCGGGAGTGTGCTGCTCAGTGCACTCCAAGCACAGAGACCGAGGTCCCATACTAACCATCAGGACCTGGAACTCCTGTTTCCAGGTTACCTGATCATTGTGATAGCTTCTGATTGGATATCACAGTGATCAGTCACTGTGAAGCCCACCTCTGTGTTTCGTTCTCTGTGAATGGAGAGGAAAGATACATTGTATCTCTCTCTCCCATTGCAGAGAGAGATAAACAAACAACTGTGCGTAAAAAAAAAAAAACCTAGATCAGGTTTTATCTAGGTCAGTGCCAGGGTTAGTGTTTGGGTCAAGCTGGCTCCCCTGTGTCAACCAGGGACCCCTGCAGCAGAGAGGATGGAGCTCCGATAACAGATGGCCCATTGGAGCCTATAGGGGATGTCACTGCTCCCAGGCAGTACTAGCCATTGCCGAGTGCGCTCCTCTCACATGCAGCTGCCACTGGCTAACACAGAGGAGATTATGTGATCAGACCAAAACGATCTGAAAATAGATAAGTATATACATCGTTCTTACAGAGGTTAGTCAGAATAGGTGTTAGGAAGGGGAAGCATTGTTAAGATCAGTTAGGTTTTGCGTGGAATTTTACTTTAACTCAGATATAAAAGTGTAGCCACCTTGGAGACATTTGCTATACTACCTTTTGTGTCCAATATTTATAATTTAGTATTGTACACAAATGTGGTAAGAATACAGCGAGCGCTCAGGGTAAAAATACCATAAGCTGTATATGCACCAATATAGGAACCCTAAACCTAGTGAACAATATCAGAATAAAGAAGCAGTGAAGCGCTTAAAAAAACTATATAAAAATATCATATACAAAATAATACAAAATGTATACTACAAATAATTCTATAATACTCAATAATCCAGGTTATAATTTATAAATATAAGTGAATATAGTGCTATGAAAGGTGCCGGCCGAACATAAATGTGATCGTGTGAACAGTCTATTATCCAAAAAAGTGTTCATAGATTTGTGCAGGCTTGACACGATTAGGTCAGCATATTAGTGCTTCATATAATTAAATAGCTCTAGTGACTTCCATGTGACTTAATCCGTGCAAAAGACTGTAAGAAATGTGCACTCACCAGATGCGCATATTATATGCGCATTGAGCTGAATAAGAATCTGTAGGGAACCCCATTATATGGATCTGCCAGACAGCATGGAACCAGGATACCTCCACTGGACACAAGCCTCCTCTGCAGCCATGCTTCCACTGGGGTCCTATGGAATCCTTAGCTCAAGTCAGAACCTGGGTGGATGATGAACAAAAACTGGGAAGGCTACACATAGGCGATAGCTCGGCTCAGCACCTCTCAACCATCCTCTCACTCACAAACCACCCTACAGCTCTCATTACAAGGCAGAAGGACGAGCTAAAAACACCTTCCTCTTTTAATTTAGGTCCATTTTATCCAGCAATGGATTTCAGAATAGCTCAGAAAGGCCAACACAATTTATCTCTATGGGATACCTACTGAATAGAGAGACACATGTGCTAGCCTGTAGGC